TGGCCATCATCATCATCATCATCATCATCATCGTTATGGTAGTGCAAAAGTATGGATGGTGCTGGCCCTCATCATCATCATCATCATCATCATCGTTATGGTAGTGCAAAAGTATGGATGGTGCTGGCCCTCATCATCATCATCATCATCATCATCGTTATGGTAGTGCAAAAGTATGGATGGTGCTGGCCCTCATCATCATCATCATCATCATCATCGTTATGGTAGTGCAAAAGTATGGATGGTGCTGGCCCAAGGAGCTCAGAGAAGGTAGCACTAGGAAAGGGGTCACCAAAGGTCATGCAGCCTTGGAATCGAGTCACTGAGAGACCTCAGGTCCATGTCTTGGCAGGTCCCTGAGCACAGATCAGGTTTCATCCTGCAGGATGGCGTGGTCCACGCTTCAACCACTCAGATGTCCCTGTACGCAGGCCTCCCAGGGGGCATCTAGGATGTTAGGACAGGGTGCCCGTGATCATCAATACTCAAGAAAGAAGGAGGCTACAGAGGCTTCCCCAGGGGGACTGCAAAATGTGGTAGAGGCCAAGCACTGTGAGTGTGTGTGACGGGGTGCATGGATGTCAGCATGCGTGTAGGCATGTATCAGTGTGTAAGGGTGCCCGTGAGGCCCACTTGTGCAACAGGAAGCTAAGAGTAAGCATGTGCAAAACCCAGAGGGTGTGCTGGGCTCCTAATCTCAGCATCTTCCCCGTGTCAGACTGGTTTGGTGGTCACCAGCATGTGGCAGATCTTCAGAGACCCACTGGCTTGGCCATGAAACCAAGCACGATGAAGCCCCTCTCAAACCAGACCCCCCAATTCAATAGAGAAGGTATTTCTATCTCCTAGTTAGACGGGGGCGAGGGGACCACAGGGCTGAGAGTATACATAAAGTTGGAGTCCCCTGGACCGTACAGCCTTGAAACCAGGCTCTTGGTAAGTAACTTTTCAAGGAAGAAGGGGGGAAAGAACTTTTTTGGGGGGGGTGTAATGTAAGCCTTTAATAACTCAATTTCAAGTTCTTATCATTCAAATTCTCATAAAATGAGATGGCTCCGTGATAAGGAGGGTGGAGACTTCCGAGAAAGAGCGAGAGAGGAGGGAGAAAATTGCAAAGATAAACCGCCAGGAGCGTGACCTCCAGCTCCTCCATCGCGTTCAGCTCGCGCGCGGGCAAACGGAACAAGCAGTGCTCACAGTGGGTGAAGGAACAGTCACTGTCTTTCTGCCAGAGACCAAGACCCCGAAACAGAGGCCAGCCTGGGTTCTGGCTGAACACCCCCCAGGAATTCAGACAAGTCCTGGGTCTCCTCGCCCCACCCTCCTCCAGAACAGTCAGCGTGCAAATCCAGTGCAGATGAGCAGATGAGCGGATTTCCAGTCCGAGGGCACCCCTGTGGACGGCAGCTAAGGAGGGTCAGAAGCCCTGGGTCTCTAGGGGAAAGCAGTCCCCTTCGGCTTCCCTGCATCTCCTTTCCCATCTCTAGTCAGTTCACTCAAAGGAGGCAGATGCCTCACCTCTACCTCCCAGTACAAACCTAAGGCGGCTCCTTTCACCGCTTTGGCAAATTCCCGCTCCGGCTCTACACCCCCCTTCTCCCCCCTCAGAGAGCAGAACAGGGAGGAGAAAAAGACACTGGGGTGGGGGAGACAAGAAATGAAGAGTTCCAGGACAACCTCATCTTTTCGGGGTTCAATGGTGATTCGGGAATTGGGTATTGGCAGGGTGTCCATGACTTCATCATTTCGGATTCTTAATAAAAAGACAACGTTCCCATCGCCAAATGCTCCTCTTCCCACCCTCTCTTTGGGGAATTGAAACACAAGCTTTTAAAACGCTGCAAACGCATTGCAGCTGCATTTTCCGATGTTGCATTTGGGTCCTGCCCTTAAGTGGCTGCCCTCATTACCTCCCCCTTTGAAAGAGGCCCCTGGATAAGCTCCGGGGTAATTGAAATTTCCTGTCTAACCTTGACCACTCCACCAGCTCCTATTACAGTCCTGGACACACAATGTCGAGTCGATTTCTTCTGGGCCTTCTCACTCTTCGCTCAAAATCAGGCCACTATTCTGTTGGCTCAGGCTATCCAGTAACACACTTGGAAACGGAGAGGGAACTTGCTCTGGCCCGGCTGATGACGCCTCTGGCTTCCCACACTCATTAGAAAATCCTCTTTCTTCTACAACTCACCATTGAGGAGCCAGGATACAGAGACAGATGACCCCACGCCAAGAACCCAACATGCTCACGGGCTGGGAAGGAAGGATCCAGTGGTTGTGGGTTTTTTTTCAAAAATCTTGAAAATGTAAGAAATCCCCAGGCAAAATGCTTTTGAATACAAGAAATCGCATTGAAAAGATCAAAGTGCGTTTTGCAGTATCTGCAGGAATCTCTCCAGCCCCAACAAAAGAATGAGCGCGTTCCATACCGGTCAAGTCAGGTTCCCAGCGACATCAGAATCTGGATCTAGAAACTCTGATTAAAAGTGAACTATTTACTGAAAGTAATTGCATCCCTGGCACCAGTGGGGTGGGGGTGGGGGGGTTCGGTTGGTTTGGCTTTATTTTTGTAGTTCGATGGTGACTCCATTTAAATTAGGATTGAGCTTTGGGAAGACTGACCCACCCTTCTGTTGGGGTGGGATAGTGCTGGCTTCCTGAGGTCTCTAACATTCCTAACTCACTTAGATAACCTTGGTTAAGAGTCTGATGTTCCTAAATCTGAGGGCCTCCTTGGAAGGATCTTCCCTCTCCCCCCAGGAGGTGGGGAGGAGGCAGTCATGGTTCCCCATCTGGGCATCTCTGCTCACTCACAGTAATGGGTTAAATAGAGTCCCCCAAAATTCATGGTCATCTAGAACCTCAGACTGTGAACTTATTTGGAAAGAGAGTCTTTACAGATGTAATAAATTAAGATGAAATTGCACTGGATTAGGGTGGGCCCTAAATCCAACAACTAGTGTCCTTGTAAGAAGGCCACGTGAAGAGACACACATGGGGGGACACCATGTGACTGTCAAGGCAGAGCCCTGCCGTGCCTGTGGTTGCTAGCTCGGACCAGCATGCACTGCCACCTCCTGGGCTCCCTGCCACCCCAAGTTCCCTCTGGGTGGCCAGCCAGCTCTGGGACCTTCTCTGCCTACACCTGTCAGCCTTGGGGGCCCTAGCCCAGGCTGGGGCAGGCTGTGGACCTCCTCCCACCTAGGAAGGCTACTATGGGGCTTGGCATTTGGGAATTTGTCACCTGCCCAGGCCGGGCTCGGTCAGGGCCCCTTCATAAAATGAAGGGTGTGTCCATCGGCTAGAGTCTCTGCCACGTTCCGGGCACCAGAAATGTCCAAGGGACAACATCTCCCAGCCAGAGGAGCCCCTGACCCTGATGGGGTAGGGAGAGCAAAGTTTCAGCTCCTCCCAGGCGCTCCTTAGCTCAGCTGAAGGATGCCGAGATGTGGAAGCCCAGGGGGTGGGCCAAGGGATCCGTTTCCATAGGGCCTGGGTAGCCTGAAGGTGGGGAAGGGTGGGAGGGTTCTGGACACGGAACAAAGAGAAACTGGCTTAAGAAAAAGAACTAAGCACTACCGGTATCATCTGAGCACCTAGATCTAGCCAACCAACAAACGTATCCTCTCTAAAAATAATAGTAATAAAAATAAAGACATGAAACCCAACCCACTGCAACGAAACCTAAAGAAGATCCCCAAGATGCCCTCCCTGAATCCAGCTGGTCTTTCCGTAAAAGGTATAACCCCGGACAAGTCAAAGGGGCTCTGACAAAGCACTGCTGATGGCTCTTCCACCTCTGCCCCCGTCGCAGGTGTCCTTCTGCCCCAACTCAGCCTTCCTGAATCGCCCAAACTAGCTCCATCAGGTGTGAACGCCAGAGAACAGTGCCTGGAAGCCGGGGACTGGAAAATCGGACGTCAGGCCAGCGGAGGAGGCGTGGTGGCCCCCGGGTGCCCGCCTCTGCAGACTTCCCCGCAGGGTTGGCGCTGGACAACAGCCCAGCCTCAGCAGAGGCCGAGGCTCCCGCCACACAGCGCCCTGAAATAGAACCTCCACTCGCAGGACAAACATTCCAAGCGCTTTTTAAAACGCCCCAAGCATGACCTGGCCGGCGGCCCCAGCTCCCCCAGGCATTTTTCTGGTCTTGGCCCTATTCTGGAAATAATATTAATAGCTCGGTTAGGAGCTTACGGTGTGCAACATAATTTATGGCCTTAAAAGGCCGGCACGATTACTGCTCCCGTTCTTCAGATGAGGAAACTGAGGCACCAGGAGCTCTCGGGCTACGAAGGGCTGGCTCGTGGGGGCTCTCTACTCGGCCTCCCCCGCCGGGTGGAGCTTACAAAGCAGGACAGGAATGAGCCCTCAAGGGACCGGCTGCCAGCTGCCATGCCCAGTTCTGACCGGCGCCAAGAGACAAGGCGACGCCCCCAGGAGGCTCTCGGGACCCGCTCGCTCCAGGAACACCCTGATCTTTAGCAAAGAGTTTAACCAACTCCCAGTTCTCAGCCTCGGTTAGTACGCAGGATAACTTTCCTCTTTTATTTGAAAAGATAAGGACACCGGGGTTAATTTCTCCCTTGGGAGGTCAAAGCTGGCAGGTGAGGCGCGCGCGTCTCCGCTTCCTAGAAGTGCTCCGAGCAAATCTCGGAACCAGCCCGTGGAGGGGGCGGGACCGCGGTCGCCGCCCGGAGCCCAGGACCGGGGACTCTGGCTCCGCTGCCCCAGGGGAGCTTCTGAGCTGGGTCTGCGGGTACTGCTGTTGGTGCCCCCAGCCTGGTCGGATCCCCCACCGCGCTGGCATAGACTCGGGACGCGCAGGACTTGGGGCATCGAGTCAAAGGCCAAGGGCACCCCCGGGACTCCTGCACGATCCCACCCTGCCCACCAGGCCTGGGTCTCCGGGCCAGAAAGACCAACCCACCGCCACCTCTGCTTTCTCTCCCCGGGTCTCCCGGCGCAGGGCCCTCGGGGCGCACGGGGCAGGGCGCGCTCACTGTTTGAACTTGCTCTCCAGGTCCTTGATGAGGCGGCGGCTGAACTCCGGGAACTCGGTGTAGGGGTTGAAGACCTTGCAGCGGCGGGGCCGCGCCGCGCCCTCGTTGATGTCCAGCCGTCGGTTCAGCTGCGCGCTCAGCTCGGCGCCGGCGCTGGCAGTGGGCGCCCGGGCAGGCGGCTCGGGCTCGGGCTCGGGCTCGGGCTCCGGCTCCGGCTCCCGTTCCGGCTGGGGTGAGGGCTCCGGGGAGCCCTCCAGCGCTCCCCACTGCTGGAGTCTGCGCTGCAGCTTGCGCGCCAGCTCGTCGCTGGACATAGCGGCGTATGGGAGACACGGGGACTCGAGAGCCGGCGCGGGACGGGCGGGCAGCGCGCTCCTCTCAGGCTCGCGGCTCCGCTCCACTCTGCCAGGCGGCGGAACCGGCGGTTGGGTGGAACTGCGGGGAGCCGCGGGGGAGGGCAGGGCGGAGCTGAGGCTTTAAGGAGGCGCCAGGGCTTGGGGACGGCCCTCCTCGGAGGCCTCAGGTGTCTGCGCCTCCCGGGACCTCGACGCGCTCCCAGCTCCCCGAGGCTCCGGACGTCGGACTAACCCTGACCTGGCGGCCGGCGCCCGCTCCAGGGAGCCCAGGGACCCCGAGGTCCCCGGGGGAACAGCAGCCGGGAAGTTTCACGGCTGTTCGGGCGGTTCCTTTCTCGTCCCCGAGAAGTGCCCCAACTGGGGGCGCTCGCGGCCCAGGTCAGGCTGGGGGTGGGGGGGTCCTAGCGCGCCCCTCCCCCGTTGTTACCCAAGTGCCACTACGACTCAGGGTGGCACCCACCCGGTCCCGAGGTTTGGGGGTGGGAGGCGCCTGCAGGGAGAGCGAGGCGGGGGAGCTGCTTTTCAAACGCGCATTGAAAAGAAATGTTTGCAAAACATACTAAAAATACCAAAAACAAATAAGCAAACAGAAAAGAGAACAGAGAACAAGACGAAACGTGTGGCTGCCCTGGAGGTAAGAGACCAGCGCAGCTTCGGGGGCTCTGGCTTTTTCTGCGAAGCCCACAGAAGAAAAGGAGCCTGGAAAGGAAGAAAGAATTCTGCGTGGTTAACAAGAGGAGAAAAACAAGTGTCGTCGTCACCCCCCTAAGGAAGGCTGATGCGGGTGTCTGTTACGTCAGCCGAGCCTTGAGGAATGTCTGGCAAACACTGACCTGCCCCAGCCCACACCGGCTCTGATGTGGCCGTCTCTGCAGCCACGGCCCAGGCGTGTCTGCGACCCGCCGGGCTGGGGCGCCCAGACGGAGACCGGGCCGGCCTTTGGCATGTCTGTGTAGGACGCGCAGAAGTCCAGTAGGGATTGTGGGCATCTGTGAGGGTCTAAGCGGGGGAGGGGGATTTTTTTTAAGGTATTAGGGAAAATATTACGTGTTGAAATAAAGGTATCAATAACGTCTTGCTAACATCACTATTCAACAATTTGATTTGATGGGTAAAATGGCCAGGAAAAGCCTCATTGGAGAGGTGACATTGAAAGAATGACCAGCAGAAGTGAGGCTGCCAAACAGTGAACCAGGGTCAGAACATGACCCACACAGAAACGAGAAATTCCTCCCTTTGCTATCAGCATCCACCTTACTGTCCTCCAACTCTCCCCTACAGATGTTTCCAGAAGGCCCTCGAGTACTTCTTTCTTTTCTGCAGGGATGTCTGAGGTCTTTTTCAGGTTTCTGTGTGGGAAAACCTCCAAGTGATTCACACTGCTTTCCCTAGGATGGGAAAAGCCACTGGCATTCCCGAAATCGGTTTCTCACCTTTCTCTTTAGCCTGGCTGGTGGAAGGCAGGCAAGTTAGAGCCGCCCCTGCCTTTTGTCCTGGGGGTCCCCCAGTGTGGCCATAAGATAATGCTTCCATCCATTTCCCCCACCCTTGCGAGCCCTTCCTCCCAATGCCAAGTTCACTCCCTCACTCTCTCCTGTCTGCTCTGCTCAAGCCGGCCCAGGTCTGGAAGCTCTCGCCTGCCTGGAAGGACAAACAGTGGATCCTTAAACGACACAAGTTTGAACTGCCCAGTCCACTCTGCGGGGATTTTTTTCTCGATAAATGCAGTAAATGTATTTTCTCTTCCTTATAATTTTCTTTTCTCTAGCTGACTTCATTGTTAGAATACAGTATACAACACATGTAACACACAAACTACGTGTAAATCAACTGTTATCAGTAAAGTTTCTGGTCAACAGGAATTAAGTTTTTAGGGTGTCAAAAGTTATACATGGACGTCCAACTGCAAGTGGGGGTTGGCACCCCTCACCGCCCCCCTTGTTCAAGGGTCAACTGTAGTTGACAATCAGTGAATTTCTCTCTAGAGGCCTCACCCTCTGCCATTCTGGGCCCAACCACTCACCCAGGCAGGAAGAATGGGTCCAGAACAGTGCTACCCAGCAGAAATAGGAAGTGTAATTTTATTTGTAATTTTGAATTTTAAATATTCTAGTAGTCAAGTTTAAAAAAGTAAAAGTTTAAAAAAGGTGAGCCCTGGCCAGTTGGGCCCAGCGGTTAGAGCGTCCGCCTGAGGACCAAAGGGTCTCGAGTTTGATTCCCAGTCAAGGGCACGTACTTGGCTTGCAGGTTCGATCCGAGGCCCCAGTAGGGGCCATGCTGGAGGCAACTAATCGATGTGTCTCTTTCTCCCCTTTCCTTCCTTCCACTCTATCTAAAAATTAATGGGAAAATATCCTCGGGTGAGTATTAATCAAAAAATAAAAATAAAAATTGAAAAAGGTGAAATTTTGCCCTGGATGTTTGGCTCAGCAGTTAGAGCATTGGCCCACGGACCAGAGAGTCCCGGGTTCGGTTCCTGCTAAGGGCACGTACCTCAGTTGCAGTTTGTCCCCGGGCCCTGGTTCGGGTCGTGTAGGTGGCAACCAGTCAATGTGTGCTCTTGCATCGATGTTTCTCTCTAAAATTTCATATTAGTATATTTTCTTTTTTTTTTTATCCTCACCCGAGGACATTTTTCCACTTTTTGTTCAGATAGAATGGGAGGGGGAGAGAGAGAGAGAGAGAGAGAGAGAGAGAGAGACATCGACGTGAAAGGGACACATCGAGTGGCTGCCACCCACACGACCAGCCAGGGCTGGGGACAAACTGCAACCGAGGTACATGCCCAGAGAACCAAACCCAGGTCTCTCTGGACCACAGGCCGATGATCTAACCGCTGAGCCAAACCGGCCAGGGCTTTATTAGTACATTTTCTTTAATCTGATATATGCCAAATATTGTCATCCTGACATGTAGTCAATATAAAAATATTCATGGGATGTTTTACATTATTTTATTTTGTACCTAGGCTTCAGAATTTGGGGTGTATTTTACACTTACAGTGCATCTCAATTCAGACAAACCACACTTGCCGTGCTCAGTAGCCACGTGTGGCTGGTTGGTGGCCGCCCTCTTGGATAACTCGGGACTAAGGGGCCAGCCAGAGCATTCGCTGCTCCCTTGCTCTGACCCTCTGCTGCGTAGAAGTTCTGCTGCTGAGCAGGTCTTGTCTGGCCTCCTCTCTGGCCTCCACTCCCTCTGGTCTGAACCACCTCCTCCTCTATTCCCCTCCCCCACCTGCTCCACGAGGTGCAGGGATCCACCCACAGCTGACCCAGTGCTCCACAGATGCTAGACCTGGGAATAAAATCTTAAAACACAGACCACACTAGCCACCGTTCCAGTTCGCAGGTGTCCCTATTGTTCCAGTCTGGGGCCCCTGCTGTAGGGAGTGGATGGGGTTGTCCTCCGGCTGCAGAGGGGACACCTCCAAGGTTCAAAGGCTCGCTAGGTTGCCAGGCATCTGCTGATGGGAGCATGTCAAGTTTGGGAGTATTACACTTCATTGAATCCCCCACCTTCTCTGACAGTCTTTACATAAAGCACAGGATAAGATAACCTTTGGGGCTCTAATAGTCATAAACTGTTCTGGCTCTTCCCTTTAGACAGAACCAGGAGCCCTCTGTCAGAGGTGGGAGGAGAAGAGGAGTGGTATAAATCCTGGCTCTGCCTCTCAGAAGCTGTGTGACTGTGAATAAATTACTTAACCTCTCTGAACTCCTGGTTCCTTAAATATACAACAGAGCTCATACTACCCACAGGACGTACAAGGACGTAGTAATCACTGACGGCATGTAAAGCACCTAGGAGGCGTTGAGTTCATGTCACCTCTTGCGATAGGCACAGCACAGGTGGTGGCTGAGATTCGGGGTGCAGGACATGAGTTCCAGCACAGGGCATGCTCTGTGCCCTCCGGCTTTCGCCTTGGCACTGGCCAAGCCAGTGTTTGGGGGGCGGGGACGTCTAGCAGCCCTCACCCACACTCCTGCTGTGCAGCTCAGCCCTTCAAGGCTTCAAAATCCCGCACCAGTCAGTGTGGTTCGGAGACACCAGGAAATCATATCGGGGCCACCCCAGTGAATTCTATTTTGATTTTTAGAAAACCGGGCTCCTTTACCCAGGGCTTCCTCCCTCTCTCTTCCTCTCCATCCTCGGGCTCCCTCTCAGGGACACGCCCCCTTTTCTCCTGTGTGTTCATGCAGATCACTCCTCCACTCCAGCCCGCCCTCAAACCGGGTCTAGACGGTTCTGCGGTTCTGCGTTTCTAAGGATGGGCTGGTGCTTCAATTAGGGTTTAGACAAAGGCCCAGTGGATCTTGAGATGAGCAGGGATGGTTCCAGAGTCATCCTTGTAACAAACCTTTTACAATCAGTTTCAACGTAAGAGTGGCTGCCCAGCTGGTGTGGGGTGTGGCTCAGTGGGTGTGCGATGACCCCTGCACCAAGAGGTCACCAGTTGTTTCCCAGTCAGGGCACATGCCCAGGGTGGGCCCGGTCCCCAGCGGTGGACATTAGGGGGCGGCCAGCCAGTTGATGTTCTCTCTCATAGATATTTCTCTCTCTCTCCCTCTCCCTTCCTCTCTCTCTAAAATCAATAAAGAAAAAAAAAAAAAAAGAGTGGTCCACACCAAGGAAAAAGATTTAATGTGTTAACTGGAAGAAGGTATTTTCAACAAATGCAAAAAAAAGTATCTAGAATTTTATGGGGAGCACCTACAAAATAATACTAAAAAGAAAAACAGCCCTGGCTGGGTGGCTCAGTTGATTAAAGCACCACCTTGTACCCCAGAAGGTCACGGGTTTGATTCCCCATCAGAGCACATGCCTATGTTTCAAGTTCAATCCCCAGTCAGGGCACATGTGGGAGGCAACCGATCCATGTTTCTCTCTCACATGGATGTTTCTCTCTCTCTCTCTCCCCCTTTCTAAAAAAAAAAGAAAGAAAAAAAAAAACTGATGAAAACTCAGGCAATGGGTATGAGCATCACTGCAAACTTACCTAA